ACCGGTCAGCCATTTTGATCGTCAAACCAATACATCTGTATATCTATGACATGATGTATAATGAATATATAATATTTGAACATTAATCAAAGCATGTCAGAGATACATGTATGGCTCTCACTCAAATCACATTCATTAAAACAAAATGGCCACTAGTCAGCCTTTTTGAATCTTATCTGAAAAACAAAATGACATACATCAGGGACCCATGATGTCTAATGTATGTACCAAGTTTGAATGAAATCCATCAGTAAGCTAATGAGATCCAATTCCAGAATGACAGAAATGCTTGACTTTGATATTTCAACACAAAAATGGCCACCATTCAGCAATTTTGAATCAAATCGCCAAACCAATACATCTGTATATCTATGGAATGATGTTTAATGAATATTTCAAATTTGAACATAATCAGTCAAAGCATAGACCTTAGAAAGAGAGGGACAGGCAACTACATCATTTCTTTTGTTTTAACCTGGGTTATAATCCTCCAAATAATCTCACAATCCTATTAACGAATAAACAATCATCTGTTTATTTGTACTGTCGGCAGCACTCGTGAAAACGCGCGAGTTTCCCTGCGTGACTACTGAAGCGACGGTCATGTATATGCTAACTGTATGTTAATGGTTTTCCACTTAGTATCACACGTCTCCAAATAGTTTAGAAAATTCAGAATTTCGACTTTTTTTAAAGCAAGTAATCAAATTAAAATACCCAAATTATTTAGTAAACGCAATAATTTGAACAACGGATATTTTTATTTTTAGAAATTGGGCGAAAATACAGCGATCTAAAACAGACCAGGTCAGCCATTTCCAGTGTAAGCTGCTGACTTTCACGGTTTCAAACAGTTTAGAAAATTCGTAATTTCGACTTTTGTATAGCAAGTTATCAAAATAAAATACCCTAATTACTTCAAAAATAGCATGACTCAAGTAAAAAATGCAACAATTTGAACAATAGATGTTTTATTTTTGAGAAATCGGGTGAAAATAAAGCAATCAAAAAAAGATCGGGTCAGCCATTTTTGTTGTCGGACGATTGTCACACGTTGGAAAATTCAGAATTTCGACTTTTGTAACGAAAGTCATCAAATTAAAATACCCTAATTACTTCGAAAATTATACGACTCAAGTAAAAAATGCAATAATTTGAACAACAGATGTTTTATTTTTGACAAGTCGGGCGAAAATACGGCAATCTAAAATAAACCGGGTCAGCCATTTCCGGTGTAAGCTGCTGACTTTCACGGTTCTCTTTCTAAGGTCTATGGTCAAAGCATGTTAGAGATATGGCACTAGAACCACATTCAATAAAACAAAATGGCCATCAGTCGGCCATTTTAAATTTGATCTGAAAAACAAAATGGCATGCATCGTGGTCCCATAATGTCAATGTATGTGTAAATTTTGATCAAAATCCATCTGTGAACAACCAAGAAATGCTCGATTTTGACAATTTTTTCGTACAAAAATGGCTGCAATTTGGCCATCTTGAATCAGATCGTCAAACAAATTGATGTGTATATGTGTAATATTATGTATGATGTGTGAAGTTTGAAGTTTGAATGTAATCAGTTCAGACAAGTTTAAATCCAGTTCTATATAAAATATAAAAAAATACCATTAGCCTCTACTGAGTTAATAATCTGTATATTAAGTTTCTGTTACTTGTTAAAAAATACTATAAAGCCTCTTACTAAAACAATTAAGACTCTACTGAGTTATTGTGTACATTCAGTTTCTGTTACTCCCAGTGAAATACAAGAAAGCCTCACTCTGATACAAGATAGAATGCCCTCCACAGAGGTTATTTATACTTTACGTTACTGTTAATCTCAGTAAAATACCATTGAGCCTCTCTCTGATACAAAATAGGGCACCGTCTGTTAAGTATATATATATATATATATATATATATATCAAGTTTGTTACGCTTCGTAACAATACCATAAAGGCTCACTCTGATACCAAACATGACACCCTCTAGCTACTGTAACTAGATACCATAAAGCCCCTTTCTCTAATACACGATAGTTAATCTGTATATATTAAGTTTCTGTTACTATAAAGCCTCTTACTAAAACAAAATAGGGCGCCCTCTACTGAGTTAAAATGTATATTAAGTTTCTTTTACTCTTGGTAAAATACCATAAAGCATCACTCGGATACAAGATAGGGCACCCTCTACTGAAGTGTATATAAAGATATTGTTATTCCTCACAGCACACAATAACACGCCATAAAACTACAAACGTTTGAAATGATAGATAATACGCGAAACATTGAACACAATTTTTAGAAGTGACATCAAGCTATTATCCAAATCAAGATTTAGTGACATCAAGCTATTATCCAAATCAAGATTTAGTGACATCAAGCTATTATCCAAATCAAGATTTAGTGACATCAAGCAATTATCCAAATCAAGATTTAGTGACATCAGGCTATTATCCAAATCAAGATTTAGTGACATCAAGCTATTATCTAAAGCAAGAGATTGTGACATCGAGCAATTATACAAATCATGATTTAGTGACATCAAGCAATTATACAAATCATGATTTAGTGACATCAAGCAATTATACAAATCATGATTTAGTGACATCAAGCAATTATACAAATCATGATTTAGTGACATCAAGCAATTATCCAAATCATGATTTAGTGACATCAAGCTATTATCTAAAGCAAGAGATTGTGACATCGAGCAATTATACAAATCATGATTTAGTGACATTAAGCAATTATCCAAATCATGATTTAGTGACATCAAGCTATTATCTAAAGCAAGAGATTGTGACATCGAGCAATTATACAAATCATGATTTAGTGACATCAAGCAATTATACAAATCATGATTTAGTGACATCAAGCAATTATACAAATCATGATTTAGTGACATCAAGCAATTATCCAAATCATGATTTAGTGACATCAAGCTATTATCTAAAGCAAGAGTTTGTGACATCAAGCAATTATACAAATCATGATTTAGTGACATCAAGCAATTATACAAATCATGATTTAGTGACATCAAGCAATTATCGAAATCATGATTTAGTGACATCAAGCAATTATCTAAAGCAAGAGATTGTGACATCGAGCAATTATACAAATCATGATTTAGTGACATCAAGCAATTATACAAATCATGATTTAGTGACATCAAGCAATTATACAAATCATGATTTAGTGACATCAAGCAATTATCCAAATCATGATTTAGTGACATCAAGCTATTATACAAATCATGATTTAGTGACATCAAGCTATTATCTAAAGCAAGAGATTGTGACATCGAGCAATTATACAAATCATGATTTAGTGACATCAAGCAATTATACAAATCATGATTTAGTGACATCAAGCAATTATACAAATCATGATTTAGTGACATCAAGCAATTATCCAAATCATGATTTAGTGACATCAAGCTATTATCTAAAGCAAGAGTTTGTGACATCAAGCAATTATCGAAATCATGATTTAGTTACATCAAGCTATTATCTATGTTACGTCAACAAATCAATTGGCAGATATAACTATATCTTCTTCGTAATACGCAATAAGAACCATGATAACAATGCCAAGAATGATTCCCATATTTTGTAGAATGAATGTAAGAACTGGTTTGTCACTTTGATAATGCAATATCTCTGGCATCTGAAAAATAAATTAAATAAGTATTATATAGTAAATAATTCGCTGGTTTCAAATTGTGCAATTTTGTTGATTAGTAAAATCCTCTGAATTATATCTATGTGAACATGTAGAAACAAGAGATCTCATTTGAAATGCTAAAAAAAACAAATGTAGTGTCATTGAAAAATAAAAAAACAAGCAGCATCTTGACTGAGATAGCTCCGCTTTTAGCAAAATGCACAAATCTAAGAGAGGTGTGCCCAAGGTACATATACACCAAGTATCAAAGCAATAAGGATTGTAGTTTTTAAGAAGGAGTCGAAAAAGTAAAAAGTTGACACGAACAACGGGCAATCACTCATATAATAAGCTCCGCTTGACAGCCGACAGCAGAGCTAAAAATAAATGAAATTGTGCATGATATGAACAAAACAAATTCATGGAAGAAAATGACTGATTCATGTGATACCTGTAGTTTGTTATGAAAGCCATGACAACACAATTCAAAGATTGCACTGAAAATATGTCATTGTTCACTTACCGTTAAAATCCTATTATAAACCGCATACCTAATAGTAACCGCACCCCCGATTTCGGCTTCAGTGTTAAAGAGTTCTCAACAAAAATTGAAAACATGAAAAGTACATATTACTAACCGCACCCCCAATTCAACAAGACCGTGACTGACTTTGTTTCAACCAGCTGGTACATTGTTCCTAATCCTATTCATTTGTTTCGACAACGTGCCTAAAAATATTCACACCTCTTTATTGTTCAGTAGTGTTAGGATGTCAAACACGCAGTGAAACTGCTTTTGTCTTCTGACAACTTATGAATACGTCCGCGTGTCGCAAATTTTCGACAATGAGCTGTTCTCACCGAAAAACTGTTAAATTCTTTTTCAAAGCTCAGTTTATCTTTTGAAAACAACTAATTTCTTGATTTAAAAAAAAAGTCATGTCGTTTTCCCATGGAAATCAAAGCCAAAAGATCACACAACATTATCGGTAAATCGCTTCCGGGTTTCTTTCACCATGAAATCGGTGACCTGTCATTAACATATTTAAATGAACTAAGGTAATTTGAACACGTGGGCACCATCCAGCATTTTGATTGGGTAATTAGCGACTTGACCTACCCGGTCAAGTAATGTCTCGTGTGCATTCAAACTACATAGCGGAAGTCGTATCGCTTCGATCGTTTAAATGTGACCAAAATAATTCGCTTACGGTGAAACTAAGTTGAATTTTACTTGCATTTGATAACAATTCAACGAGTTTATTTTTCGTGCGTTGTTATAATCACTACTGAGTAATAATCAACAATTTCAACAGTTTGAAAACAAGTAAGTTATTCACTTGTGAGCCGAAGCATGGCCAGATTGCGTTACCGTACCCACGGTACCGTACTTTTTTATTGCCGTACCATGATCATTTTCTACTAAGCAATGCATTAATGTTTGCTTTTATTTGAAACTCCTGTCAGAATATACTTTCCGTCACGAAGAAAATTTTAAAAATAAATGCATATTACATTAAATATACAGAGTATTTTTTTTTCATGTGAACATTTTTTTGGTGACGTGACGCTTATCACTCTTCCCTGACATCTAAATTGGAGTTAGCTTATATTCAAAAGATTGTACGGTGCATTGTTTGTTTTGTGCAAGTGACGTGGGAAAAAAATGACCACGCCCATTTAGTGATTGCAATATGTACCTAATATAAACCGCACCCCGAACTTGAGCTGTTGATCCCAATTTTTTATTTGATACATTGTAATATAAACCGCGGTTTATAATAGGATTTTAATGGTAATCATTAGAATATTCCAGCCAAGCTTGCTAGTCCTTCCTACTATACTGTCTCGGCTTTTAAACAAGTGAACATTATAGTAAAATATTACCGACTAGATCCAAGATCTGCTGTGATATCTTAGAGTTTTAATGTCACATGATCTATTCTGTGACCTTTGATTGGAGGTGATGGCACACGCCTGAACTTTGTTATCCGTGACCTCTGTGGGTACTTTCACTTACCAGATCTACTAGGGCTATGTAAAGGAATATTCCGGCTGTTATCGCAAATATCCACTGTCTTGCCGATTCATCAGCTCCGATTGAAAGACCAATGTACAAACCAATAAATGCACACATTGCAGAAAGGGAGTTACACAACAAAGCCATTTTGTAATTAAGACCACCATTCATTAGGATAGCAAAGTCACCTGAAATTAATATTAACAATACTAATTACACAAGTTGAACACATGAAATGAACATTAACTTTAATTTGTTATCATAAATATCCACCGATGGATCAGCCCCAATTGAAAGACCAATAAATGCATACATTGCAGAAAAGAAGGTAAACAACAAAGTCCACCATTCATCAGGAAAACAAAGACGCCTGAAATTAACATTAACCTTATTAATCTCACAAGTTGAACACCTGAATGATCATTAACATTATTAGTCACACAAATTGAACACCTGAAATTAACATTAACCTTATTAATCATACAAGTTGAACACCTGAATGATCATTATCATTATTAATCACACAAGTTGAACACCTGAAATTAAAATTATTAATCACACAAGTTGAACACCTGAATGATCATTATCATTATTAATCACACATGTTGAACACCTGAAATTAAAATTATTAATCACACAAGTTGAACACCTGAATGATCATTAACCTTATTAATCACACAAGTTGAACACCTGAAATTAATATTAACCTTATTAATCACACAAGTTGAACACCTGAAATTAACATTGACCTTATTAATCACACAAATTGAAAACCTAAACTCTAACTGTGTACAACAAATGTGCAATACAATATAAAACAAACATTATAAACCAGTTAGAACCTGACTCACCTAATTCATGAGGTAATTCATGGCAGAACACGGCTATAGATGTGGAAATACCGACAAATACGCCAGCAGAGAAGGCGGCACCGATAGCAAGTCCATCACTGATATTATGTAAGATATCACCAATTACCACCACAAATATAACAGAAGATACTAAAACAAAAGAATTAATTGTAAATAAAGTAATAAATAACTAGTTCAACCTTTTCACCATCACCAGACTTTCTTGCTCAAATTTTTCTGTACTTTTTTCATATATTAGTCTTCTAGTAATGAACCATAATTTTGGAACCAACATACAGTTCAAAATATTTGAGTATTTTTGTCTAGTGCAGACTATAAGTAGGACTATTTTGTGAATTTGTGGTGAAAAGTATATATGTCCATCAGTGAAATAATAAATTAATAATTTGGCGATCAAAAAAATCTATAAGAATCATAACATTATCAGGGTTCGTTGTTTCAAAATGGCTGACAAGAAAAATAAAATTGTCATTAATAAATTTTCATTAAAACTGTGAAATACTTTATTTTAGCTAGAATTAATTTTTGCTGAAAAGACTTTTGAAATGTTTTGTATGGAATTTATTTTCACTGATTTTTGATGAGTTGAATGTTAAATATAGGAAAAAAGGTATATTTCCTGGATTTTATTTTCTCTAAATCATAGGGAAATAGCAAAAAATTACAGTACAATGATGAAATAAAAATGATCACAAAATATGCAATACACAATACGCACATTATATTACATTATCATTTACATAGCACACACATTTATGGTGTAACAATTATTGTGATCTGGTGGGAAACAGCTTTTAATATTATTTTCATTGTTAAATGTTTTTGATTGGACATAAACTTTGGATGCATTAAAACAATTTCCACCTGGATGTATTTCTGCATCATGTGACCTAACAGGTAAAGTCTGTTTTTAACCAATCAGAATGCTGTGCCCTACTGTGTGACCTAACAGGTAAAATCTGTTTTTAACCAATCAGAATGCTGTGCCCTACTGTGTGACCTAACAGGTAAAATCTGTTTTTAACCAATCAGAATGCTGTGCCCTACTGACCAAATTTTTAGGGGGATCACCGAAAATTGGCGATAGCATTTTTTCATAGAATTACTGATGTTTATTGAAAAACAATCTGTTGGCATTGATTTTGGTATCTTGATTGTATTAACCCATGATAATGAAAGTAGGAAGAAAAGGATATATACATTATATATAAACCATCATTAGGCCAGGAAAAAAAACCCTCTGTTTCCTGTTTCATGGACGATTTTTTTTTTGAATACTGAGTTAAAATGGGGGAAATTTGAAACAAGTGCAAGCACTAGTGCATTTTGGAATGCTTTAGAAGGAAAAAAAACGTTCGAGGCACATGGTTCAAAATGATGCACACGTAAACGAGAAACAGAGATTTTTTTTTTTCTCAGCCTTACCTTGTTTCTTTTGTGGTTCATCTTCCTTGCTTTTCTGAATATCACCGTTGCTAGTGGCAGCCTCCTCTGGTGTCTACAAACATATATAACAATGATTTCAAACTGATAAAATGAGCAGAATAAGAAATTTACAACTTGACACAGTGTATCATCAGTTAAATGAATACACATGGTTTAATTTTGACACTTTTTTTTTTTTTTTACAAATTTCACCTTATATATATATATATGAAATGTAAATTATAATCTTTTGTAGCAGTGAAAACAAAATTCTACGACAGGAAGTGCTGTAACTTTCGAATATTGTGTTCAAAAAAACGTCAAATCGCGAAAATTTACCTGTTTACAGTTTCCAACCCACAAAATGACACACAAAATACGCACATAACCAATGTATGTATCAAGTTAAAATGCAATTCATACTTGACTGAGATCTGGTTTTGAAAAAAAATTTTTTTAGCCCAATATGGCCACCATTCAGCCAGCCTTGATTCAGATGTCAAATAGATCCCAAAATGTATCCCATGATGTATAATATGATGTATAATATGAAGTGATTTGTGGGGAACACATAAATTTTTAAACTTACCAAGTATTGCTTTGACTCTGATGGCTTTATCTGGTCTAGTGGTTTTGTTGTGTCAGCTTTCTTTGCATCTAATAGTGACACAGGTTTCTTTGTATGCGAGTGTCCATGTACGGAGTGTGGATGGTTGCCATGCTCCTCATCACATATATCCTACAGAGAGATAGATATAAGTCTTTTATATATACTGTAAATGCATTAATTATTCACTGGGTTTTAATTTCGCTGATAATAATCCACTAAATTAAATCTAACATGTAAAATAACGGATGCTAGTTAAGAAAACCACGCTCACATAATTGTAACTCGATGTTTTGTTTCCAGTAACAAAACTTTATCTTTAACTTTGATCAGGTTATATTAATTTTGGGCGTGGTTTTGTTGTTGTCATTTTTGTAGCTTGATATCCCTAACTTGAACAATTCAGCATGATTCAGTAATAAATACAATTTTGAGTAGTTTGAATGCTGTTTACAAAAACTGATTAAATTGAATGACACTTACATCAATCTTGTGTAATCTTGTCATATAGATAGTAGAAATCTTCTCAAAAAGAAACAATGCATACACCGATACCATAACAACCACACTTTTCCATATATGGTCAGTTCCTTCATTCTCACTTTCATGACTATTTGAGCCGTGGGAGGAGTGGGAGTGAAGACCATATGCCTGAAATAACAAGAAACAAACAAGAATGAAAACAAGTCATTGAAAAAGATACAGTCACTGTTGGTATTATCAACAATCCTTAACAAAGTCTTGCAATTGTTCCGTATATGCAAATTTTTCTAATTAATCGTTAACCAATTTGTATCCAAACTCATCAGATCTTGTGATTGTTCTATATGGAAATGTGATACATAATGGCTTGAACATGCAGAAACCCTAAAATATATAATTCATTACTCTACTGCTCAATAAACTTTTATAAAATTATATTTCATATTATATTGTTCTATATAGTATATGACTCTTAAGTTTCATGTGAATCTGAGCATTGGTTCTCGCAATACCAGTGAAACAAGAATTTCATTAATTTGCAAATTTCCTTAATTAATTGTTAATAGCATATGACTGCTAATTTTCATCTGATTCAAATTCTTGAGAAATCGCATTCATAACTCAAAATTGATGCATAAACAAACAGACGGCACTACGACATAGGCCCCTCTTTACTGTCAACATGGACTTAAAAATTAGAGACCGATTCTATGAGATGCAGCTACAAAAATTGAAACAACCATCATTGCACATAATACAGACAAGTATACAGGTATACAAGATCATGAATATTATTAACAGAATTTATCCCTCTTTATTCTCCTATTCCTTTTACCCTGCTACAAGAGGTCATTGCCAAAAAACTCACTAAAGTTGATCACTGTAAACTTGAAATATTTCCCATCAGTGCATCTTAAACTGAAATTCACCACCAGACAACATAATTACTCGAGAAAAATTTCAAATTTCATCACAGGCAAAAATAACATTAAAAGTTGTAATTTCAAATAGAAATATTTAGTTTTATTACCGTTTTATTTATTATTTAGTTTTATTTAGTTTTATATAGCGCCTCAATGAGTCACAATATCGACTATGTTATGGACAAACTGACAAGTTCCATTACTTTTTTTTTTGTGGTAGTATTCACTTTTGTGACGTCATCTCTGGTTTGCAACTCCCTGCACAGATGTAACACTCTACGCTTACAATACAAGTCACTTAGTACCTATACCGAACATGTAAAATCTCCATGACGATGGATTTTCAACCATTAACTACTGCTCACCTGAGGCATAAGATGTATGAGAGCGTCGGCCGCCAGCGACCCAACACCGAGTGCTATAAAAAATTGCAAAACTTCTTTGTACACACGGTTATTTAGAAATGGAATAAATACTAAACCAAGAACAGCAAGTAGACTGATAATGAAGACAGATAATGTTCCATAACCATATTCTGTAAGCAAATAAAGACGGCAGATTTAGTCTACTGCAGAAAAAAAAAAAATTTATTAAGCTGTCAGGGTCTGGCATATATTACTCCAGCAAAATAAAACATTCACTTTATTAGGTTGCACAAGACTGGCATATACATCACAAATGTGCATTAAAACATCATTTTTTTCTAGTCTGCCAAGGTCTAGCAAACATAAATACAAAATATAAAATTAACTTTAGTAGACCACCAAATTCTACATTTCCAATACCTTTATATTGGGTTTACTTACTTTGTGCTGTGGTGAGTTGTTGTTTCTCTTCCTCATAGTGGTGTACACAAGCATCTGACAAAACTTGTTGCAATAACGCAGGGCATATTGATATGAACTGAGACGCTGATATGCCAGTGTCATGGTCAATGTCATATATAGTCATCAAATCTTCCCCCGAATAACACTGCAAAGAATGAATACACAAATTTCTCACCCATATTATTATGCATTTTATGCATTCAAAAATTCCACCAAAATATTAAAATAAAGAAGAAGAAAAAACATAACCAAAATACCAGAAACAAATCTTTTATTTTTTTAGCCTCAAATCTCTGGTGGCCACGGTTCAAACAGAGCTTATTTATACATAAGAATAAGATGAAATTAATGATGATAATTATAGTCACCTCAGTAGTTCTTTTTTATGAAAGTCAGTTGGAAGACCGCCAGAACTGTACTGTACCAGTAGATTTGAAATATTTAAATTTGGGAAAAAAATACAGTAAAAATTAATAAAAAATTGATACTTACATCAAGTTCTTCAGCTTCATGATGATCATGATGATGATCTTCGATCACGGTAATGTCGTTCCCATGATGATAATGCTCTTCATCTGTGATGTGACGTTTGTGACGTGATGATCTAAACACCGGCATATCATCCATGAATCGTTTTTTACGATCGTGATCATGATCATCGTGATCGTCATGATCTTCATCAGTGTCCGGAGTCCCAATTCCAAGCTTTTCCAGAATCACCTCAAAATCTTGACAAAACAAAAGATGAAGGGTATTTGATTTACAATCTGTCTATAAAGAACAGTCAGTAGACTAAGCCAAAAAGTTCTTCATAGACAGGTGTTTTTTATAAAGAGTTGGCCTAATTTATTCATTTAATCATGAATAATAATTAGGGTGGGTATTTTAAGGGAGATCAAAAGCTAAACAAAAAGGCAAACCTACACATTGTACAATGAATAGGTCATTTTTAATGATAGTCACTTATTTTCATCTTGATATTACACAGCTTTACTTTTTTACTGTAAATTATATCATGTAAATTCACTGGAACCAAGTGATTCTGCCCATGGACTTATTTGAACCATGAGAACAATGCAACGATTGTTAACAATCAGCTGCATTGGTGTTCCAATTCTCAAGTCCCTTACACATATTCCATGACAGGCGGTAATCAGTCCAATCATTAGTATTGCTGATTGTACACTGTGACAAAATGTACGGGCAAAGTCGCTGTGTTTAAAAAAACAAACAAATAAGCAATATAAAAGGAGACGCATTGGTGATAAACAAAATTTACCAAACGTGAAACGATTGCTGCAACTCTCGGTGTTGAATCAGAAAGTCAAACGAAACAGAAATTAACCACGATGACAGTACATAGTTGTTTGTTGCAAGCAACAACGTGTAAAACTAACCAAACAAAATGACTTTTTCTCATTTTGATTATGTTGCAAATTTAACAATAGGTGTTGCCTATGCACAAGCCAGATTAGCATAATTTAGAACAATCAACAACAAAAACATGGCAGCCAAAATTGATCAGAATTTGCAACCCCACAATAAAAACTAATGTTTTATTATTTTTTTGGATATTTCATATCAAAACATCTTTCATTATTATATCTCTCATCTGGTCATATTTTAACCTTCTCACCACCAGTTCCCTCTTTTCATCACAAAATTTTCCTTTTTAAGTTTGTTAAGTAAAAATTGATCAAAATAATGAAGAAAATGATTCAATTCCATTAAATTCAAATACATTATTGTCGCAGGCCATCATGTTGTAATTGCCAGTTGCAGGACAAGCGTTTTTTACTAAAATTGGCATTTACATTATTTCCAGAGTGTACTAAATGGCCAAATAGACCGATTTAAATTGCATATCACCAAGTACAGTGTCAAATATTAGTTTAAGCCTTTGAATGCAGGTGAGAAGACGTACAGTACAGATAACTTTTTGGCTTGCAGTCTCGCAGTGTGTGAAAATCTTGGAGGGCAGTCAAGTAATTTTTTTCAGTGAGAATAAAAAAAAAATGCGAATCTTGCAGGTGTGAGGGAATCAGATAATATTTTGTGTCTGGCCTAATGGTGCAAACGTGATATATGCAAACTTACTGTTTTCATCAATGGTTCCATTAATTCCATAACGTTGATATAAGTCATCCAGGAAAGAATCTGGTTCCGGTAATTCCGATGTCCCAATACAGTGTCCTTGTAACAGACTCCATATGATTAATGTTGACAAGCTTTCTACCTCGTGCCAGTCTGTCACTTCAGTCACTCCAATATTATATAGCAAGGAATCAGCGTCAAAACACTACAAAATACAGACCCGCCAGAAAGTATTTATGCACATGTCGTTTTCGTAATCAAAAATAACAGTTCTGGGTAACATTACATTTTGTCTTTAAAATATACTGAATTTAAGACAGACTAGTGCATTTTAGTAAAAATAAAATGATTGATTTGTGTTTAGTTTTTATGCACATAGACGTTTTTTCAGTGAGCAAAAACCCATATGGTTATGTGCTCTATGGGAGCGTGCTCATTTGAATTTCATTAAAATTTTGCACCATAAAATATGTGGAACAGTCGTGTCCTTTCTCATGCGAATTTGAATCGATTGAAAAATTGTAATTATTTCAAAATGTGCTTCTGGGCAGAAATACCTGTCAGTTGTTGTTCATGAATATTCCTACCAAGGTCATTATCAGATGCTTAATTTGGTATTTACAAATATTGAGACATGCCGAAAGTTAGGATTGTGGCAGAGTTGCTAAAACGAACCTAAACTACATCCTTGACACATTACAGCAGGGTGGCAATTTGCTAAGCAACACATCGACTGGACTCCGGCGCAGAGGGCTCAAGTTATCTGGTTAGATGAATCAAAATTTACAATGTTTTGTAGCTATGGAGGATTATTTGTATGTCGTAGACCAGGTGGAGAGTATGAGATGAAGTGTAATAAACCTACGATAAAATTTTGTGGTGGAAATGTCTTGGTGATTGAGGAGGTATTTTCGGCTACCAGCTTACGATCGCAAGTCCATGTACATACGACCATGAATTGATGGCAATATTTGGATATCCTGCAAAACTCACTGTTTCGTTCAGAATGTCGTTTTTATTCAATCTTGCACAACAATTGCAATTTTTTATTTTTATTGTGTGTAAGAACCCACATTTTATTCGATATAAATATATTTATTCAAACCATTATTGAGTTTATTTTGTTGAATAATATTGTAGGTAGTAACTGCATGCAGTGTGGTGCATAGATAATTTATAGAGGGTCTGTACGATACCACATTATAGCATTTCCAATATCTATGGTCTGTAGAAAACCTCTCACTGACCACTGTAAGCACCATAATAATAACTTTCGATTAGGTATGCTGTAAAATATTTCTGCTAGGAATTTTTAATTATTATTATTATTATACATCTGTCACCGTAACACCATAAGTTACAGCATGCCGTAATTTTGCAGTATTGAACTGGGTATTTTCATCATACCTTTAGGAAACACGAATCCCAAATACGGAACGATTATGCACGTAAGTGTCCTCAAATAATGAGAGGACATACATGGCTGCCCCCAGGGTTTGACCGGTACCCACACAAAGATGTTCACTAAATCTGTTCTAAACGTTTTGGATTTTGACATTTCCATGATGTATGTATATATAATAATAAGGTTATTATTAGGATACTGCAAAGTAATAATAATAATCTTTATTGATAATTGTATCCTTAATTGAGGTATTGTTCGTGATACAATAAAGTTAAAATGAAAAAAAAACACAAAAAAAGCAAATAAGTTTTATTTTTTTTACGAGGCAGCTGATAATTTAGATTTAATGACATTTTCTCTCATTAAGAAGTCTTGGTATACAAATTTGTCTAAATTAATAAACATGTTTTTGTCTTTTGTTTTAAGTAGTACTAGTTTTTCTTTTTTGTTTCGATTGGTCGGTGCTGCAAGAAATTTGTTTAGGCTGTCTTGTCTTAATGCATCATAGTGTGAACATATTAGGAGGAAGTATGCACTCAGACTCACACACCTGTGAGATTCATTTACCCAGTTCCATTACGTCTTGGCATTGTTCCAATTAAAACATAAGTCTGTGAAATTTCGTCTGAGAAAAGCGTAGGAGTGTTGAAAATACACAAAAAGTAGGAATTATTCAAGTTACATAAAAAAAAAAAAATATGTGCATCAGTAACCCAACAGGAGTAATGTTACTACCTAGTTAACCAAGGTACATCTGAGAAATGGTAAACAAATAAAAACAGGTTACAAAAATTAATAAATATGTGGATGTCTTGTCAAAACAATTGTTGGCTGTTAATTTGATAGTAGCTGACTAGTACACTGCTAAGATATTTGATTGCATACTTTGTGTAGCCATGGTATTTTTATGATTCATGTGGGGTTAATGGCCTTATAAATAAATCATGGCGCTGAACTCAATGTCCAAATTGTCCGATTATTAATTGCATTGCAAGTTTTATGGAGCTCCTGACGTCCACTTTAGATAAATATTATAGGGCAGCAGTCGTCGTGCCGCGTCCTGTTCGATATGGGACTTATTAGCGACGTATACAACGCGTGTAAAATACATTGTTTATTTACGTGAAATTAGAACACGCGCTGCGGGGCGACTACCGCGCTTTATTTATCAAGAAAAATGTTGCAGCCTCCCTCAATTAATTCCTTCAAATCTAGTTTATGGGTCAACCATTTAAAAAGGATAGAAAGTTAGTTGAGAAACAAATTCAAGCAAGAAAGAAGAAAAAATGCACACCAGGTATGCAGGAAAAACATTGCTATTCAAAACATCACCTCATTGAGTTTAGTGAAAGGACAACTCTAAGTCACGTCATGGAAGGCAAATGGTCACGCCCACTCAAAGCTCGTTTGATGACGCAGGTAAATTCTTTATGAATACATAATGAAACAGGAACAAAGAAAACATGGCGGCTACCGCGCTGAACTTTCCTTGTTAAAGTATAAAATAAAAAATGGAACAAAAGCTAGATATTTTTTACACTGCCTTACCTGCACTGAACTATCCGATTTATAGTATACGCTGATATTGTGCAGAATACCGACCAGCTCCTCTTCGTTTATACCGTTTTCCACCGAGTTGTTGAGTAGTTGACCCCAGTACCGCTGGGCGAGTTTTGCACTCGGATCGCTCGAGTCTTTGCACACGGACTCGATGTTAGCAAACTTATAAACCAATACGACGAAGGCATTACGCAGGTCTTCATCGCTCAAACTCGAACTTGTTCCCAACGATGCGGTAAAATTGTCTGCCTTGAAACACTGGAAAAAGCAGAAATTTCGTATTTGCGTTAGTGTTTGTAACAAAAGACGCCATTTTTGTTACTGTTAGTACGATGTCTTTAATTCACGACGATAGAGGAGTTTGAGTCGACTACGGAAACTTGGGTGCTAGTTACCGTCGGCGAATTTCTTCAAATTTGCGAATGTTTCCAAGATAAGTCAATAAGAGAAACAACATGGATTATAAATTATGTGGAGACTCGGTTTAAAAAAACAAAAAAACAGCAACGACAGGTACAGTCCCAACCCGGATACACTGAGAATATCGCAATCATGGCGCAACAAATCAGTTTTCAGGATTTGAGAACTGAGAATGTGATATTTTCGCAGACTTCCCCGCCATACAAAATATCGGTAAAGTTACAGTCCTTTTATAGAGGTAAAGTACGCATTATTAGGTCGATTTTAGGCGTAATTTGGTTACCTGCTCGCAAAACTGGAGCAATCGTACGTGTCTTTCTTACCTGCGTACACTGCGTCATACTTTCGAATGGGCAATCGAACTTCGCCACGAGGGTATCCAACATTAAGTCAACCAATTCGAAACTAATCGTTCTATTTACACCATTTTCCTGGCGTATCCTCCGCTCCAAGTCGTCCAGGTACGAAACGATTCCGTCAAAGACATCATCGGCGTCGTACGGCTGTCCGTCATGGTGTTCGTCATCATGCGGTATCGGCGTTGTTTCGCCGAATGCAGCTGTGAAATGAGAGGAATTCACCCAAATGGCAACGAGGAAAATGTAAAAAAACAACCGGGCCATAATAACAATTGAGAAAAGATCGATTGCCAATGTCGGGGAAATTTCAATTATGATCTAACGGTGACCAACTGCCAAATAGTAATGAAAGCGGAAAGTGAAGGGTCACGTGGTTTCAGGGAGAACCATTGCAAAAATAGGGGTAATCGTTAAAATCGTTTACTTTTTGGAAAATATTGTTTTTTCTCCACTTGAAATATTTTTTGAGTTAGATATTCTTTCTAATGTTGTATTATTATATTTTTTCTGTGCGTGTTAATCTATTTTTACCCCAAGACAATTGGTTCCTGCGTTATCGCCATCGCTAACACACTTGTAAAAAATGGTCTGGGGTAATATACATTTTTTCATTGTCCAAAGTCCTTGAGCTGAATAATATTATTTTACATAAATATTTTATTTCAGTGAAATTAATAAATTTATGAAAAGAATTATAACTTGTGATACTTAATCAAACATCTCTGATTAAATCTACTAACTCTGAAAAGTGATGTTATCTGAAGTATTCCAAGCGTCAACCAAACGTTTTATCGTAACACCATATTACTACTTTAGGGTTCGGACAGTTACTTCGGCCTTTTCGGTGGATCAGTAGGTGTGGTTACTCTGTTTTTGATTTTGCAAATAAGGGGGTCACCGAGAAGAGACTTGAATGGGATCTTGGCATGATGTCACCATACAATACTATGTGCGTTGCAAACCTCAAGTGATGTACCTCTGCTATTACCTATATTGCCTATACATTTGTTGATGAAAAACAAGTTATAGGCTAAATTTTTTGGGATTGAAGTTGCCAAATAATTAACAGATTATGCAGATTGAACCCCAATTATACTGTTAAGTTTTAAACACATCCCAAGTGCATGTGCTGCTGATATTAGATTATTTTATTTAAAGTCTGAAGTAACCATTGTATACGATATTTACTGGATTTATCCAATTATAACAGGAGACGGAAAGACAACACATCAATTAGTACAAAGAGCAGTTTTTGTTCAGCAAATCAAAAAAGTTAAATTTGCGAAAATGCTGATATATAAATTAAAATAAATGATGAAAAAATAAATATTTGTTTTTTTACTTTTAAATATGCAAATTTTGATCCGTAAAATGCAAAAATCAAACACAAATTTATGCAAAAATCAAAGTTACTTTTGTTTTCATAAGCACAGACTGTGCTTCGGGTGTAAAGCATTTCTGGTCTATAAGATATACATTTTGTAATCATTTTTCGGGGTCAGAATGTTTTAAAATATAATGATGGGGTGGGTCAGCCACTTTTTTTTTTATTTGATAGGGGTGGGTCAACAGATTAACAGCTGGCAAAATAGAATCTGCCGACCCCCCAGGCCGAAGTAACTGACCAATCCCTTACTGTAACTTGAGGCCATTTTGCCTTTGGTTAAAGCGAAGGGGTCGTCATTTGCGCAAGGTCGAGAATCGAGTCCCAAGCGACGATGACAAAACACGCTAACAACGCAAAAGCTCATGGGTAGACGGTTGTTTGTAAACAACGAAGCGCTAAATATGGCCTTCTGCCCCAAGCGCGGGGGGGGGGGGCACTCTATATTAAAACCTTACACCATGTGCGTTTTTGCTATAAATGCTATAATGCTATAAAAAAACACCCCCTATTCCACATATATTGAGAAAATCCTACCCCTATTGCGAGCATTCACTGCCGTTTTTTTGCATTCAAGTCAGTGCCGGTGGAGCGTAATCAACTCATGTTGGTGTCATTTGTTGTTGACATGATTGTGAATATGATCATTTATTTTATAGTTTAAAACACAATGTACACGACTTTGCCAGGATTCTTATTCCATCAGATATCATTACGCAATTTTATGTTCAGCTCCAAGTGACTTTGGCATGAATACAGGGTAAAAAACCCAGAAAAAAAGTGGGAGCTGGATGCAAATGAGACCGAGGCGCGAAAGAAGTCTCGGAAGTGTGGATGACTCTGGCGAATGACTTTCTGTATGCGGCTTATTGTAATCGACGAAACGAAATGAACAAAACGGGATAACACACATAATAAAAATTAAACTGTAATCAGTGAAAATGGGTTTTATACGCACAATATTTACAAAATATTTGCCGGAAATAATAATATTTTATACGTATATGGCTCGCTTCGCTAATTACAGATAATCAAAAATCTGTAATCAGCGAATACACGTACAATATTAACAGCAGTCGGTTGAAACTTAACCAGTATATTCCGTGACCTTTCAGTAGTGTATATATAACAACATAAAACATATTCAAAAATCTGTAATCAGCGAAACAATGGTCTGACACGTACAGTAACAATTGTCGGTCAAAACTTGACCAGCATATTTACCTTTCAGTCGTGTATCAATGAAACATTTGCTGAAAATAACGTGATTTTATGATTAGTGATTGGCTCGTTTCGCTAATTATAGATAATTGTTTTATGAAGTTTTATACACGACTGAAAGTTAAAAATACTGGTCAAGTTTCGTCCGATATTTGTGATTATTGTATCTGTAATTTAATAAGACCCTGTTTTCGATTATCTGTAATTAGCGAAACGAACCATTTACTGATTATATTGTTATTATCGGCAAATGTTTTATTTCGTTATATACTTTTACTGAAAGGTGAATATACTGGTCAAGTTTCGTCGACAGTTGTGAATATTGTACGTGTCAGAGTGTATATAATAACATAAAACATTTGCCGAAAATAACGGGATTAAAATTACTAATTAAAATCCCGTTATTTTCGGCAAATGTTTTATGTTATTGTATACACTACTGAAAGCTAAATATACTGGTCAAG